TCAAATGTGCTGCAAGACCCACGGCCTGTGTGGCAGAAGTTCTACAAGTGCCTTGAACTTCTCAGATGAAGGGCACTATAAAAATACAAAAATATCAGGAATTATGTCTATTGATTTACAAGGAAAAAAAACAAAACATAGGATGTAAACAGGCCTTGCTCAAAGTTCCGTGAAGTAATTTAGGATCCAAGAGAGGGAAAAAGTGTAGAATTTAATTTGTGATTGATACTCCACCAAATCAATCACATTTATACAAGTCCTAGCTTCCTTCAGTTAACAAAATGCTCACAAATCAACATTATCTTGTGATTATAATATTGTCCTTTTAAAAGCAAAAATCAAAAGCAAATGAATCCTAAATTATTTTTCCATTTTATTATAAAAATTTTCAAACACATAGCAAAGTTAAAAGAATCTTACAATGAACACCTCTAATCCTACCACCTAGACTACTATGAACATTTGAATAACTTGCTTTATCTAATTACACATTCTTAATATGGCATTACAGAGAAATTACAGGCTGAAAGGCAACTGTCCGAAAATCAATGGCTTCAAAAAATCAGGGTGAAGTCATTACATCAAGGAAAATAATATTTGGAAATCTTTCTGATATTTTTGTCAGAAATGATATTAGTTTACTACTGGGATGCCTGGGTGGCTCAGTTGGTTAAGCATCTGCCTTCAGCTCAGGTCATGATCCCAGCATCCTGGGACCAAGTCCCACATAAGGCCCCTTGCTCAGCAAGGAGTCTGCTTCTCCCTCTGCCTGTGCTAACAAATAGATAAATATTATATATACATATATATTAACTATTTGAAGTCAGAATGGACTCAGATCTACTCCTACTCTTGGAGAATGATTCTAGTTATTTGTTTAATATCAGATCATATCATTCTCCTGCTAACAAACATCTAACAAGGGGCGCCTGGGTGGCTCAGTCAGTTAAACATCTGCCTTAGGCTCAGGTCATGATCCTAGGGTCCTGGGATCAAGCCCTGCATCTCTTTGGGCTCTCTGCTCAGCGGGGAGCCTGCTTCTCCCTCTCCCTGCCGCCCCCCCCCCCCCCCGGCTTGCGTGCTCTCGCTCTCAAATAAATAAAATCTTTAAAAATCTAAAAAAATCTAATGATTTATCATTTCAGAACAAACCCAAAGAACTTCCCATATCCTAACGGCCCTACAGGATTTGGTCCCTACCCACCTCTCTAATTTCATTTTACCTTCCACTTCTCCCTTTACTCCACTCCAAACATTTTGGTTGCTTATGTTCTTCTCTTTCCCTTCACATGAACAGTAAAACACTATTATAAACATGCATAAACATATTTACTTTATCCACCCTCTTCATTAAAAAAAAAAAAAGCTCAATTTGGGACAAACTGCAAATTGGCTGCAATGTAACAGAATATATCTCATATTTTGACATTAACTATAAAATGTTAACCAGGATCATCTGGAGGAAGCGCCAATAAATTCAGACCAACACCCAGAATGAGCAGCGTCAATGCGTATCTGATTTTCTGTCACATGACTACCATAATTATGAGTACACAAGGCCTTCACTTAATACTACAGCACCACAGATTAAAAATGAGTCATTTGAAATAGAAACACTTGAAATAGGAATTTTACAGTAATTACTAACTTTAAACTATCTTGGAAATTTTAATTTATTAATCTCGTAAGTACTTAACAGCGAGCATATCCCCAAAGAGCACATATGGTAAGACACGTTAACACATGTTTAAAATTTAGTTACGTTGGGGCGCCTGGGTGGCTCAGTTGGTTAAGCGACTGCCTTCGGCTCAGGTCATGATCCTGGAGTCCCGGGATCGAGTCCCGCATCGGGCTCCCTGCTTGGCAGGGAGTCTGCTTCTCCCTCTGACCCTCCCCTCTCTCATGTGCTCTCTCTCTCTCTCTCTTTCTCTCAAATAAACAAACAAAATCTTTAAAGAAAAAATAAAATTTAGTTACGTTAAAGTGTAGGTGCAGGCAAACTAAGTTCCACTGGCCAGGGATAAAAGATAAACTAAGTGGTAGAGGAAGGAAAATAACTTTTAGGTACCTTTTACAAGTACAAATATATGTGATTAAAATCCAGTGATTATGTACCATTTATCACTATCACTAGTGCAACTAAACCCAAAGTGCTGTCTATAGAAGCTCAGCAAGTCCAAATTAGTTCTCTTAGAAGTTGAAATATCGGGGCACCTGGGTGGTTCAGCTGGTTAAGCATCTGCCTTCGACTCAGGTCAGGATCCCAGGTCCCGGGATCGAGCCCCGCATCGGGTTCCTTGCTTGTCAGGGAACGTGCTTCTCCCTCTCCCTCTACTGTTCCCCCTGCTTGTGCTCTCTCGCTCTATCAAATAAATAAAATCTTTAAAAAAAAAGTTGAAATATCAGTCTTTCTTCTGACAGAGTTAACATAAATCTCTCAGCTCTAGGACAACTAAGAAGTCCCAAAGTGGCAACTCCTCCTATCACTGCTTGAACTCTACTCCGTGGACAGGAAACACCTCAAGATCTACCTGTTTTCAACTCTCCTAATAAGAATCAGGACTAGGAGAACATTCCAACAAACTACCACCACACACACATATACACAGGGAATTGTTGACTTGATACGTGTTTCTCTCCATCCCACCTCCAATCAATAGGCAGAAGAGCCCTCAGTCACACGATAACATCTCAGCCTGACCTAATTATGTTGGATTTGGAACAGGGGAGTCTGGGCCTCCCTTTGGAAGAAGTTGTTTCCTCAAGAAGACCCAAACACCCAGGGACCCCTGGCCAGTGCAGTCAATTAAGTATCTGACTCTTGGTTTCGGCTCAATCATGATCTCAGGGTCGTGGGATCGTGCCCCGAGTCAGCCTGGAGCTCAGGGAGGAGTCTGCTAGGTTTCTCTCTCCTCTCTCCCTCCACCCCTTCCCACACTCACTGTCTCTAAATGGATAAATAAATCTTAAAAACAAAACACCAAACACCTAAAGCTAAAATTAAGCCAACCAGGGACCCTATATATTCATTTATATATTTCTATCAAGTGCTGCAGAACCATTCGGTTTCATGGAGAACTGAAATTTGTTTAGAAAATGAATTTTTCAGATTCTCACAACATATATAAAATCAGTAATACATAAAAGGAGAAAACACTGGAAATAAGTCCTGAATTTTACCTAACTCTAAACAAGCTGTTTTAAAGTACAAGGAGAATACCTTAAAGAGAAAACAGTTCTGGCCTGCACCTAACTAGAAAAATGACCTTAGGAAATTTACATAAGCCTCTGGGACTCAGTTTCCTCATCTGCGAATAGGGTTGGACCATATAAGTCCTGAAGATTCCTTTTGGGTCTAAAATTCTTGATCTATGAAAAAGTTGGTGGATTCCTATTCTCTTCTTCCCTCCAGTACAGATTTTTATGAGAACAGAAGCCATAACTCTAGCACTAGACTCTGACTTAAAGCAAGTTTTCTTCTATTTTGTTAGGTCCCCAAGAGCCACCACTGCTCTACAAAAGTAGATGGAACTACTCTCCAATTTATCAAAAGAGATCTTTAAGTAAATTATCCTTCACGATTAGGAATTAGTCTTGTACTTTCAGGTCACTTGCGCCCAATGCTCGAACCAGTATCTCTACCAACTTAGCCATATCTAAAGTGACAATCATGCAATGGTATATACATATTATACATATGGGTATCTGACACTAAGTGATTGAAAAATTCCCGCCACATATAACATTTTTAAGAATTTTTTTAAAGTATTTTTTTCCCCTCAGATCTGGGAGGGTGGACTATAATCCGACTGCACACCTGCAAGAAACATTTACTTCAAAGACAAACTTACAAACACAAAAAGAAGCAAACAAGTCACCAATATTGGTAAAAATTTTAAATCAGGACCATTAAAAAACACAGTGAAACCAACTCTGAGGCAAAAAGGATGCCAATTTTACACTATAAACTAAACATTGTTTTGACAAAATCGATTTGCGTGCAAACAGTGCTATTTAATAAAGACGGCTTGTTAACTGGGTTCAATCGGTAACTAAGGACAGCTGTTCAGGTGATTCCTATCAAGGTAGTAACTTAGACTAAGCAAAATTCCAAATTAATGTTCTATTTCAATGCAACACAGTTTAAATCATGAAAAAAAATGTTTTCAACTGGAAAATTCCCTTTCCAATACCCAAGAATCCTAACTCGTAAGATTTCAACACTACTTAACTTACACAACCTCCGAGAATACTGCATTTAAAAAGAAAATCTACCCAAAACATAACTGGACTTCACCCTGTATAAAACGGTGATTCATGTTTCATATTCAATGTAAAAGCCAAGATGGAGTTGTAAAGAGTTTCTTTCCCATTTCAACTCTCGACAGCCACGCGCGCTTCGCCGGGGCCGGCTGCACTGCGCGGTCGCCGGACCCGGCTCGAAGCCCCCGCCCTGCCCGGCACAGCAGTGAGAGAGGAAGAGCCGGGGACCGCGGGCGGGCGGCTTGGGCTCCACCAGGCCTGGCCGGGCGGGGGAAGGGGCGAGGGAGGCCGCGGGGCGCGCTTCCGGGGACTGCGCGGGCGGGGCCGCCGCTTTGGGGAGCGGGGAGCGGGGCCCGGGCCAGGAGGCAGGGGCAGGGGCCGGGGCCCAGGGGCAGCCGGCTGAGAGCAGCAGGTGGGGCGCGGCCGCGGCGGGGCGGCGGGCGGGCGGCCGGAAGAGTGCCGGGAGGGCGGGCGGGCCCGGGGCGCCGCAGCGCCAGGAGGGAACCCTCTCGCTCACCTCAGGCGACGACTCGCAGTCCGGCCTCTCTGCGCCGAGGACGCCTGTCCGCGAGTCGCAAGCTCGGAGACGGGCGGGTGGCTGAGGAGACGGCAGCAGACTAACGAGAGAACCGACGAAGAACGGCGGGCGGCGGGCGGGGAGCGCGAGCGAGCGAGGGCGGTCGGCGGCGGGAGGGCGGGGAGCGACGTGCGCGCCCCCGTGTGCCAGCGGGCTCGAGCCAGCCCCAGTCGCGGTCCCGCGCGCGCGCGCGCACCCACAGCTCAGCCACGATTGCTCAGGAGCGCGTCCACGCCCTAAAAGCAAGGCGCTTAACCAATCACTGCAGCTGCGTGGGGCATCACGGGAACTCCGGGGCTATAAAAGACCTGGTTGCTATTTTATGCTCCTCCGCTCACTCATCCTTTAAGCAAGCAGGGTGGGGCTAGTGCGCGTGCGCGGTTTTATTTCTCCGCCCCAAACTGCCAACTCTTCGCGCAAGCGAAGTAGGCTCACGTTGCCTGGCTTACGCGTGCGCACTAATGGGCCTGGGCCCGGAAGACCAGACGCCTGCGCTGTGGGGACTACGGTGACAGCCCTCGGGGTGGGGCATGGGCCAGTCATGGCGGAGCCTTGGTCTGGGCAGTCCTTGCAGGCTCTACCGACCACGGTGCTGGGCGCGCTGGGCACCCTAGGCAGCGAGTTCCTGCGGGAGTGGGAGGCGCAGGACATGCGCGTGACCCTCTTCAAGCTGCTGCTACTGTGGTTGGTGTTAAGTCTCCTGGGCATCCAGCTGGCGTGGGGGTTCTACGGGAGCACGGTGACAGGGCTGTATCACCGCCCAGGTGAGGCTCCCCACCCCCACCGGACTGTACCATTGGGCTCCCCAGAACCCCCTAGACTACCACTGGTCCCCAGAGAACCTTATCACAACTTAACGCTGTGCCCTGGCCCATGCCAACATACCATTTCATGCCAGAAACCCCGGTCCACCCATCACATTTTAACTGTTTCCTTGAACCTCCATCAGACACTACTAGTCCCTTTAGGGCCCCCATGAGACCACCAGACAACACCACTGGGCTGATACCTGCTCAGATCCCCACCCTCAGCCTGCTGCAGCTTTGGATATGTTCCTGCCCCCAGGTCTGGGCGGCCAGAATGGATCCACACCTGATGGCTCCACGCATTTCACTTCTTGGTGAGTAAATCTGTGCCCATGGCAACCTCATGCTTGGCAGGCAGAGGACACACCTGTGCTAGGAACAGGGACAGGGGCAGGAAATTCTTAGGGCACGAGTCCACCAGTTTAGTGGCCTTTGCAGCAAGCTCCAAGGCTTGCAAGTAGAGCTCAGGCTTCAAGTGACACCAGTTTCTGAACAGCCCATCAATAGGCTGTTCAGCAACCTGTGAGGCTGGTGGTGATTTCAGAGATGAAATGGCAAGTCTCTTGGGTTCCACTGTACTGCAAGCCCCTCAATTAGGAAGGTAGGAGCCTCTGTCCTTACTGCACTGACTGGCCTCATCAGGGTCAGCCTCCTCATCTGTAAAACCAAATCACTAATCAGAGCATTTGTTCAACTAATCTCTGAGCTCCTACCATATGACGGGGCCACACTAAGTCCAGAGAACAAGGACAACCCAGGCCCTGTTTACAGGGGGAGCCAGACATTTAAAAGGGAGGGCAGCAAAAAACAAACAAAAACAGAACAAAACTAAAAAAAAAAAAATAAAAGGGAAGGGGCAGTAGAGCAGGGGGTGAGGGCAGGAAGCTGTTGAAGGACTCAGCAAGGCTATGGCCTGATCTAACTTGTCTTTGTAACTGCCTGCTTCATGGCAAGAAGATAAAGGGGTCCAATAGAGAAGGCAAGAGGCCAGTTAGGAGGCTTGCCACTGCCCAGGTCCTGGGCAACTGGGGAAAGACAGGAACACCGTGATAAGGCAAGGAACCAGGAGGAAGAACGTGTTGGCAAGAGACAGGTGGGGGACCCAGTGTGGGCCGTGGGAACTCAGTAGAGAGGTCTAGGTTGTAGTGTGGCCTTACTGAGCCCACCTCAGCTCCTAAAGGGCTAGAGAGCCAATCAGGGACTATTAGACTGCCTGTGGAATAACCTCTTTCTTCTCTCCATCACTTTTAGGGAAACAACAGCAAATGAACCTCTCAAAACCCACAGAGAATAAGGGAAGGCAGCAGAGGGATCTCCAGGGACATCACCGGGTCTGCTGGTTCCCACACGGGGTTCTGCTGCTGCTCAGACCCCAGAGACAACGGCAGGGAGGTCAGGGTTGGGGGCAGGGATTACCCCAGTGCTTGCAGGCCTGGGCTTCCACTGTGCTTGGCCTTGCCTCCATCAGCTCCAGGCATTGGGCCAGTAAAGTTTGCCTCTACCCTGATCTGGGTGCCTTAAGGAGAAGGCATGCTCCTCCCTCCTCTCTTAGGGGTCAGCTCAGAAGCCTCTGGGTTGGAGAGGCCAACAGTCCATTTTCTGCCTTGGCTTTTTCCTGTCCCTCTTCCCATCCCCCTGGGATGTGACCCCATAGAAATTTGTCCTGAGAGGAAACTTAAGGTTGACCAGCTCTGGGATTTGTAAGGGAAGCCTGTTTTCCCCTAAGCTCTAGGTTTCTTGAATTTGTTTTTGCTTTGTTGGCAGGGAGCCAGGGAATTCTGGACTGGACATGGCCTTACACTGTGTAGTTACTTAGCTGGCCCATTCAAGTGTAAGGCACGGGGGAGCTGGCACCAAACACCCACCTCCCTGGCCCATCCAGAGCTTTCCAGGTGTGAGTCAGGCTATGGAAATGGTCTTTTCCCGGATATCAACTCATTCGTACTTCTCTCTGTCCTTCTTGTTGGGAAGCCAGGTGCCTGAAAGGCTGAGCCCTGGGGGGTGGCCTTCCACCCCCACCATTTTTAAGTGCCCGTGGGGTTATACCCTGCCCCCTCACAGGGAGACACTAAGCAGTTAGTGAGGAGTTGCCCTATCCCACCACGCCCTGCAGCTTCATCACTTCCCATCTTGACCCGAAGCCACAGGAGCCTCATCCTAAGAGGCCAATGTCTCCCCACTAGCACCATCTCAGCCCCCCGAGAACTGTCAAACGGGAAGAGCCATGGGCCTGCCACCTTCACTGTGGGCCGGGGGAGCTTACAAAGGTGTGGGTGGCACATGCAGTTTCTGAAAGCAGCATACCGCTAGAACTGCCTCCCAAGGCCATACTCCTACCTGCTTCTGCTGTGCCACCAGCTACCTCAGTGTCCCGCCGCCTGCTTGCTCTATTAGAGGTCACATTTCCATCTAGCAGCCTTTGGCTGGCCACCTTGGCAGCAGAGGTGCACTGGAAGTAGGACCACACTGAACTGATGGACGTGGACTTCCTCCGGAGCTACCTTCTGGCTGGTAGGATGACAGTTTTGTAGCCCCAGCCCTGCCCATTGACACCACCCCGCAGAACCAGGGTCTCACGTTTCACCCCAGGTTCAACTGAGGATGTAGCTTATTAAACATGGAAGTGCATCAGCTGTGTGATTATTGAGATAGGACAAGGGTGTGCATGCACAGGGGAGACTGGAGAGGGAACATTGCCCCTCAGCGCCCAGAATGCAACAACTTGCAGAGGTGGAGAGGTGATACCAGCTTCCTAGAGGAGCAGTGGTGAGTGCCTGACAGGGAGGGGCACTATCATTAGTTTTTATAGACCTGCCCCTCTCAGGGGGAACCCACTCTGAGCCTGCCTCAGAGGCCAGGCAAGCAGACATTGGGCTGGCACCCCAGGAACCATGTGGACAAAGGACAATGAAGCTAGACACTGGCAATCAAGAAGAAAAGGAAGCTCGTTTAATGTTTTTTTAGAAGTCAGTGGAGTCCAGTAATGGGCCCCAGGGGCAAAGGGCAGCCAGGGTAAGTCCAGTCCAGGAGAAGGCCCCGCCTGTCCTACAACAGCCCTGGGGCTCAGGACAGGTGGTGAGCCTGGCATGGTTTACTACTGGGCAGCAGGCTGGGCTAACTTGGTAATGTGGAAGAGTGAGTCTGTGCCTCCTCAGCGGTCTCCGAGTTTACACAGGCGCAGCAGCCCTACAGGGCCAGCCCTCGGTGAGTCAGGAATCATTCCTTTCCAGGGAGAGGCCCCAGTCTGCATTCATGGAAAGTAAACTGAAGGAGATGGCTGGCATGACCCAAGGTAATAAGCCCCTTGCAGTGTGAGAAACCATGGTGAGGTAGGCTGGGCAGGCCTTATCCCCTCCCTAAATGTGAGCCTCTGCTCCACAGCCAGCACCTGGCGGAGTATAAGGGACAGATGCCAGAACTAAAGCTTCCCACAGCCCTCCGGCAGGCAGACAAGAATGGGGTCCATGGGACCACAGGCTGACATTGCATGAGCTGGTCCCTTGTTCCGAAATGGGGTCTTAAAGTTAGAGAGGCACAGGAGGCGGGTGGGAACAGGTGGTATGGGCCCCCCTCAACCAGACAACCAGAACCAACCTCCACCCTAGCCACCTACCCCCAATGTATTCGGTCTCAGCTTCCTGACTAGCCCTTGTAGAATGCCCTCAGGTCCAGTCTCCTGGATGGGAAGGGCCCTGTCCCAAGCCACTTTCACTTGAGGGTATAGTAATTTGTGGTCACAAAAGGCATCTTGCTGACCACAGCCATTTGCTGCTTCCGCCGCACCTCTACCAGCAGTGGGGTACCTGGCCGACTGTACTCACAGGGCACATAACCCATGGCCACATTCTTCTTCAGGCAGGGAGAGGGGCAGCCACTGGTCACAGAACCTGTGTGAGCAGAGGCCATATGTCAGCATCACCATGCCAGTCCAATGCCCACCTTCCTGGGGAAGGGACAAGGGCTCTCCAACTTTTCTGGTCCACCTACCAATCACAGTGCCCTCCATATTCAGGATGGGACTGTGCGCCCGCATCGGCGCCCCCTCGCACATTAATCCCACACGTCTCCGCTGCACCTTGCCCTTCAGCTGGGCAACAATGATCGAGGCTCCAGGGAAATCCATGGCAGCTCGGCGGCGCTTCCCTGAAGCATGACACACCAGGATTAAGCCACAGTCCATAAGACCCCCGGCCACAGGAGGTCCTAGTTACAAGGACCCCAAGTAACATCCATCCAGCAGTGAGGGCCCTTTGCTCAGGTTCCCCCAAGCCCCATTTCTCCCCTGCAATGCAGTCAGCCACCCATGTCCCGTCCCCAGGTCTTAGAGGCTGTGCTGCCCACCTCAGCCTGCTGAAGATCCTCAGTGTCTAATGGGCAAAGCCACAATCAAACCTTCAGGGAAAGGAGGCTTAGGGAGGCTGAGTCACTTGCTCCAGGGTACACAGCCTTGGGAGTAGTCATGGGCTGGCCACTCCAGTCTTCGGGATTCTATCCCTGAGTGCTAGCCCAACTCACCCAATGTCCAGCTGAGGCTGCTTTCTACAGGTGTGGTGTGTTCATCGATGTCACTCCCATACAGGCAGAGGCCTGCCTCCAGGCGCAGGCTGTCCCGGGCCGCCAGCCCCGCCAGCTTCACCTCTGGGTTTTCCAGCAGAGCTGTTGCCAGGTGGACTGCTGCCGCCGCCGGCACCGAGATCTACATGCGACACCAGAGAGCAGGCGGGCAACTGGCTCCAGAGTCCTGTGCCCTACACTACCCTACACCCACTTTTTGACATCTTGACATACCTCCACACCGTCCTCCCCTGTGTAGCCACAGCGGGTCACACGGCAGCCGGACACACCAAACACCTCCATCACAGCACTGGTCATGAAGGGCAATTTCCTCAGGTCATCTGCCACACCAGCCTGCAAAACCTGCGCCGCAGTGGGGCCTAGGCCCAGGAAGCCAGTGACCCAGTGTCCAGGTCCCAGTTTCCCCTCAAAGCTGGACCACAGCCCCTACTCAGGGGCCAGAATAAGCCCTGAGCAAGTCCTACTCTGCAGGTCGGAGAGATGCTCTTGCCCACAGGCCCTGAGCCTTGTAGCAGGTGGAGGGAGGGCCTAACTGCAAACTCAGAATTATGGCACACAAATACGACACCATCCACACCTCCCTCCTGGAATGGCCCCTGTGCTGAGCAGTCAAAAAAGCCAGCAAGGCAAAGGTTGGCTCCAACCCTAGCCTGGCCTGCTCACCTTGCAGGGCTAGCAAGGCATTATCTACCACCTCCAGGCTCACGTCACTGCCCATGTTCTGAAGCTCCCTGACCTTGTCCTGAAAGGAAAGACAGAAACACCACATGAGCTTCTGGGACCGCTTACTGAGCACCTACTGCGGGCTGAGAGCTGAAGAGCTAAGGCAGAATAGGCTGGGTTCCATCTTACAAGGTCATATAACTAAGCGGTAAGAATGACCCAAGCCCAGGTCTGCCAGTGTTCACATCGGGCTCCAGCCTCCACCTTCACCAGAGGATGCTTGCTTGGGAACCGGGGCCAGTCTCACCTTCCCTACTCCCCCCATCACTGAAACCTGGCATTCTCCATGGAGGGCCCACTCTGGCCTGCTGTTCACTCACTCAAAGACCCATTGTCTGAGCCCCTTGTCCCTGCCAGGTCTGTCCTGGACAACAAGGATGCTGCTCTGTGAGCAAAGAAGACAGGTTACCTAGAACACAGAGGAGCCATACCTGCATGAGAGCCACATCCTTGTCCCAGCAGCCAGCGTTGGACACCACATACAGGTACCCCTCAGAGGTGCTGGTCACAATCAAGTCATCTAAGATGCCTCCAGCCTCATTGGTAAACAGCGACAGTGTCCCCTAGTGCCAAAGTGGAACATCTTTGCCTCCAGGTCCAGGAGGCTCAGGTCAAGAATGAGTCAGACACACCCCTGGCCCACTCAGCCACCACAAATTCATGAACCTTCAGGCAAAGGGCTGGGAGGGGAGGAGGAGCAAGGAGCAAGGCTAGGTAAGCCCAGGCCCCTCCCCAGCCCAGGGTTTTTGATCCTCATGCACTGAGAAGTTTTTTCCCCTTCCCCATCTTGGGAGACCTCTGCACTTCTCCCCACTCAGTACTGATAGCCCCACTTCACACTTAATCCAGGACATCTAGGACTTGCTTCATCCCACCCAGACCTGAGACAACTCAGTCCATGCCCCAAACCCCAAGGCAGAGACTTCAAAGTCCTTCCTGGTGATCCCATGAGTGCCACAGCAATACTCCAAAATACCGTGAGGCCGGCCTCACAGCCTCCCCACCGGATGGACACAGCCTGAGGTTGCGAGATCACATGAATCACCTGGGGATCTTGTTAAAACGCAGGTTCTGATTCAGCAGGTCTGGAGCAGGGCCTGAGAGTGTATTCCTAACAAGCTCTTGGTGATGATGAGGCTGCTGGATTAGGGACTACCTTTGCATTGCAAGGGGTCTGACAGCATGGAAGGTCACAAAACAGGACATAAACCTGGGTTTCTGGCTTTCCAGCCTGATGTGGTTAAGGACAGAATAAGCCCCCTCCCTGCAGACAACTGGACATGACTCAGGGACCCCATCCCCCAAGACTGCAAGCCCTGAGATGCTGTGTCTGAGCCTTGGCTGCGCCCCCACCCCTCCCATTTCCTGGCTTAAAACTAAGAACACCCACTGAGCAGAAATATGAGAGAAGAGGGACCCACCTGGTTTGGCCTTAGTTCTGCAATATCTCCAACCACTAGACTCTCCATCAGCTTCACCCGATCACAACCAAGTATCTTGGTCTGGGAAAGAGATCAAAAACCTCAGGCCACTGGGCAAGGAGGCACCCTCCCTGCTGTTCACAATCCGGTCCGACTCAGCCAAAATGCCTGAGAAGTCCTTTGATTCTGCAGATGGCAGAGCCCCACTTTCCGATTCCCCCACCTCCGCCACTACAGAGAGAGTGCAGTGGGGGAGGTTAGGGAACTTGAAAGGGCCCAGCACCATCCTGAAATACCGCCTTTTCCAAACCAACACCCAGGAGAGTCGATGGGAATGGGCGCCAGCCCTGGGGAACCCAGGACACAGAGGCACACACCACTGAGTGGGAGCAGGCTGAAGAGACTGAAGAGGAGACAACCAAGAGACCCTCTGAGTTCATTTCCTGGGGGCCATAGTCTATGACACCGGGGACCTACCTCTTCTGCGAGGATGGTGGCCCTTGGAATCCAGCTCCCCACAAAGCCAAGGGTTGCACCACTGTAGACGGGGAGGAAGCCCTGATCGGGCAGCTGGCGTGCTCCCCTGGCTCACCTGCAGCATGTGGGACACGTCAAAGAGCGAGCAGTGCCGGCGTGTGTGCAGGTGTGAGTCCACGTGGCTGTCCCGGTACTGCACAGGCAGACTCCAGCCTGCAAATGCCACCATCTTCCCGCCATGAGCCAGGTGGAAGTCATAGAGTGGTGTCCTGCGGAGCACGTCCTGCGGGTGGCCGGGTTCAGGGCCACCAGTGTCCCGGCCTCCACCCTCCTCCCTCCCCCACCTCCAAAACTGGCACAATGCCCCGGAACCCTCGATCCCACCTGTGCACAACTGAACAGACGGCCCAGGGCCGACGGGAGCACCCGCAG